GGGGGAGGTGACTTCTCGCTTTCTGTCTCTTTCTGGAGAACACACACACCCTATAGCAAAAAAAAAAAAAAAAAAAAAAAAAAAAAAAAAAAAGAACCTCTCCAAAAAGAAAAGACAGACAGTACATGTTTTATAAATTTCAGTATTGTTCTATATAAGCAAAGATTCCCCACAGTTCTAATGAGACACAACATGGTGCCTGAGACATTATTCTTTGTCAACTTAAATTGAAGAGGGAGGAAAATACGAATACTTTGATATTTGATGATAAGCATAATCAAGAAGTTAATTTTCAAATATCTAGGTATCATATTTATGCTGAGAGTTGGAAACTAATAAATGCTAGCTTCAAAATACCTTGAAGTGACTTTCAGAATACCATCAAGATTGGCCACACTTTCTTCCCCTTCCATCTTTTAAAATCCCAATGGAGGGAGAGATGGAATAGGAGGGAAAGTGGTATGACTATTGTCTATTGGGTGTCCTTTCTCCCCTCCCTTTCTCCATGAGTCTGGCAGCACACATGCCCCCTAGCAAATATTAAAAAAAAAAAAAGAAAGAAAGAAAGAAAAGGAAAATCCCTGGAACATTATTATTATTATTATTATTTCAAAGATTATTATTTGAAGACTTTTCTGACTTTTTTGTTGTGGTGGTTTTTGCTTTACTATATCCTAAATGTTAGGGATATAGTGAGTGAGACAGGCAATTATGTCTGTCATATTTTGTACTTCTTATAGTTTACATAAATTTGGAACATAAAAAAAATCTTAAGTGATTTTAAACTAAGATAGATAGGATATGTTATTTGCCTTTACTATACATTTTATTCCTATGGGAAACAACAGTAATACTAGCTAATTCATCTATTTATTAAACTTACAAAGATCTTCAAAGTCGTTATTGAGCTCTTCATTTGACCAGCAAGAAAACTAGAGTATGTTCTTAGAAGTAAAGTGAAGGGGCGTGGTGGCGCCCGCCCTATGGCAGAAGTGAAGTGAAATTTCCTCAAAACATATGCTTAGATGACAGGGCTAACAACTTTTTTTTTTAATAATTATTTTTTTTAACTTTATTTATTTAATTTGACCAGAGAGGGATGGGGTGGGGTGTGGGGGGAGTGAGAAAGCAAGCCTCCAGGTCCATGACTCAGACTGCTGTCAGCCATGTGGAAGTCCAGCACTCTTAACCACCACCCCAAAGCCAGTCTTCTGGCCTTAAGGTTCAGCATTTTGGTAGCTGCTAGGTGATTTGAAGATAAAATACTTAGAAGACCTCTTTATTTGAATAAAATTATATGTTGTCATTTTCTCCATATAAATATAGCCTCTATTGATGCAGCTACTGTGGCACTGTTGTAAAACAAACGCTCTGCAAGGCTAGTAGCCATATGGCCAACCATGGGTTCAGATCCCTGAGTTGGCCTGAAAACATGCTGGGTACATACACTCACACAGACACCCAGGATCCTGAGGAGCTAGACAGATGGGGAATGTGGATCAGGACATTGTTAAGACCCTGCTGAGGGTGATTCTCTCTCACATTAGAAACAACGCAAAAATCACTGTATATTCCTATGTTCAATAAGTTGCTATGTATAAATTGGCCTCTGATCAAGGATTTTATCTTATTACAGAACTCTGGTTTGAATTTGTAATTTTTGTTATAACTATATCAAGCAGAAAAGTATAGAATAATTTAAATGGGTTTTTTTGTTTGTTTTGTTTTGTTTTTTTTGAAAGGCTTTTGCTATAGAGCACATGCGCTTGCCAGAAAGACAGAGAGAGACAAAGATAGAAAGCGAGAAATCCCCCCCCCAGGGGGGATGGCCATGCTGCAGTCCCTTCTCCTTTCTCCTCTTGGGATCTTGAGCACGCATGCACATGCTCCCGGCGTGAGTTTATGCCACCGGGTCCAGGACTCGAAAGATAGACTATGTGGGAGTTCAGTGACATAGCCATTATGCTAACTGCTGGTCCCAATGTTTCTTTATATCTATGTCAGAGAACAAATAAATGTTAGTATTTTATTTAAGGCGGGAGAAAACATACAGGCATGAAACTTCCCCTTGTTATTTGCCCAGTCATCATTGAACATTGTGGTATGCTTAGCATATAGTAGGAAATCCTTTTGAGTGTTTATTAAGAATCTAATTGACAATTACATATGTATCTGATTCAAAATGTGAAATTACCTGGCACGTTTTATATTCACAGATACACATTTCTGAGTGGTGTATAATTACTTGAAATTTATAATTTTGCTGAAGTTAGCATTCAGTCAACTCATTCCTTTTGTGTACTGATAGTGAAAGTCTCAATGGTAGTAAGCAAGCCTAGCCACTGAGCTCTCCGTCTAAATCTCAACATCCTTGTGCTTAAATTTTTCATACATTACATTATGACTGAATTATACCAAGAGGTATTTACTAAGTTCTCGTATTTTAGCCTCCCGAATAATTCAAGGTAAATTATTAAGCAACTTAAAATAAGTAATACTGTCATTAAGGTACATTTGTGCATATATTCAACACACTTATTGGCCACTGACTTTGTGACAGTGTGGAAGGCACTGGACCAGGCACTGACCCAGCATGCTCACAGCTTTGTAGGGATAAATGTCGATGATAATGGTATGCCCTGTTTTTGAGTGGAGAGAAAGCCCTTAACTGCTTGCCCATGTTGTAGCAGTGACGGGAGGGAAGGCTCTACAAAGAACAGCAGTTAGATAAAATGAGGAAAGTCATTAATAACTTGTATAAAGACCTAGAGAAATGAGATTTTTGTCATGTTTAAGAACTGTAAATCATTTGATAACACTGGATGTAGTTGAGAGAGTAGGTGAAGTGGGAAAATAAGGTGTGTGTGTGTGTATTCAAAGTGTCAAAATTATTCTAAGCAAACGCAAATCTGCCTCTAGACATTGCAGATAATCTTCCCCCCCCCCTCCCCCAGAGGGTTTTTTTCGCTATAGGTTTTGTGCGTTCCCCTGAAAGAAAGAGGCAGAAAGAGAGAAATCACCCCCTGGAGGGATGGCCACACCTCAATCCCTTCTCCATTCTCCTCTTGGGATCTTGGGCATGCTGGCACATGTGCCCTGCGGGAGTTTTAAGCCACCAGGTCCGGAACTCAAGCAAATACATGGGAGTCCAGCGACATAGCCATTACGCTAACTGCTGGTCCCCCAGATAATATTCTTGAATATAATTAAATACTGTAAAATGTGTTTTTAAAAGTCGGCCATAGTAAAATAAAATTAACTTTTAAAGCACTAGTAAGCGTAACATTAAGAGATATCTTTCCTTGAAGTGTAAGTGACAAAGAAAAGTGGTTACAAAGTTAATATTACTAAAATTTGTGAAGATTGCAGGAAATTTTATAGTCTTGGGTGGGGGACATCTTGGTAGTTAGGCTTAGAAATTTTAGTAAAAGGACAGATCTGAAGATTCTCTTGTCCAAATAAATACCGTGGGCACTATTTAATAAGAGTAGTTGCTAAAATGTGCATTTTATGTTTTGCAGGGGAATAAATGTTTTCATTAAAAAATAAAGTTAATACCTCTCACCTCATCTAAGATAACAAAATAGGATGGCGTTCCCACCAGACCGCGGTGGCGCTCGCACTTCTCCGGCCGCAGCGAGGCCGGCTGGGCCTGCGCGGGGCGG